TCTCTCTCTCTCTCTCTCTCTCTCTCTCTCTCTCTCTCTCTCTCTCTCTCTCTCTCTCCCTCTCTCTCTCTTTGTTATTTTATTTAAGTTATGTTCTTAATTTACAGCCAAATTTTAATTTTTTCACCATAGCCAATTTAATTTGATACATATATATTTTTTAATACATATACAAATTCATACATCATACACCCTCTTTACATATGGTTAAGCTAAAATGAGACAGAACATTATTTTCAATGAAGCCAGAATCTCACACATACATGAGTGCCAATTTGATTTCCATTGCCTGTTATTAATGGCAAGAAGCGCCCGAGGTCGGTTTGGGCTAATGAACCGGGGCAACACTCTGCCTGTCAGTAATCACTGAACGTTTTCAAGCCTGACCTCTCGTTCTCTCCTTTTAACCAACAAATAAAGAATCAAACTGCCGCCTTTGTTCACATTGATTGCATTAAAACCATTATCAGGATTAAGGAACGCACAGATGCACACACAAGTGCAGTTCAAAGAAAGATGTCTCCCCTTGAATGCGGGGCACGATTGAAGTGTTTATTTGAGGGTGAGCTGGGTCCTTGCCTTCTGCAAACTCATTTCGCTTGATGGATGTCGGGGAAGTTGATTCTGCCCACTTATTCCTGTTGAGTTAGATGGCAGAAGGGAGGGCGAGAGGATGTGTAGCTGTAACGCAGTGGCTTGTTTCGCTAATAGCCTCCTGTAATTTAAACCCTGAACCTGACAACAGTCTTTGTTATGGATTGGACCTCAATCACTCTTGTGTACTCTTCACTCCAAAGAGCTTCAGGTCCATTCATCATATTGCTTTGAGCGAGATAGATCAAATTGTATATTCCATTAGGGTATTTCACCAGGCTTCTGTGTGTGTGTGTGTGTGTGTGTGTGTGTGTGTGTGTGTGTGTGTGTGTTTGCAAATCTGGATTGATTCCCCTCCAAAGAGACCCTCTGTAAAACATCTACCAATCAGAATACAAATGTCCTTCATCATAGGTGCATTTAATGTTGTACCTCTCAAAGACTCTTTTCTTGTTTTGTTCTTTTTCATGACCATTGGTTGTAACATCAACCTGTCAATGAAGTAACGTATACATCAGTAAACACATAGTGTTCGAATCTCACTACTCTTCCAAAATATACCCTCAACTGTTTTCAAGGTAAAACAGCCCATGGAACAGAGGGGCACGTTGAGATCGAAGATCATTATCATTTAAAGGCATATGCACTGAAACGGCGTGCTGAAAACAGAGCTGTTTTTCACCAGGTATTCTTACAATACTAATGAGAATTGTTAATAAAAGTATATTACAAAGTTTTCATTTGACCATAAAGATTCATATTAACTTGTACAAAAAAATGGCATTATTTGACCCTTTTAAAATAGCCTACTGGCCTTGACATCACAACCATGAACCACAATTTTGCTTATGGTTGCCCAATATATTCAGGACAGGGACATTCAATTAGACAATAATGAATATCTATTATATTTAATATGTACATATGTATATGCACACAAATAAAATAGTTAATAATATTTATTTGGAAATATAAATGTAAAATTTTATGTTTATTGACCAGTTTATTGAGGTTTAGTTTGATATAAAGGGGTGTTATCCTTAGTCTTCTGTGTTCTTTGACTTTAGACCATTTTGGACAGTACCTTAATTTGTTTTGCCTTATTTAGGGAACAAGGATATCCAGAAGAGAACAAGGATATTCAGAACATAAAGACAGTTAAATAGATTCTCAGAGGGTCAGGATGTAAATCAAAATGTATATTGTATAATTACAATCAGTCATACTAAATCTTCTTGATCACTCCGATACATATTTTTTTTTTTTTTTTTTGTACAAACGTATCTGCCAACACAGTTTGTTTAATCCAGACTTGGTTGAAGCAAAGTACTTGAAATGACAATATCATTAATGTGTTTCTCATTGCAGTACTTCTGAATCGCTGCTTGAATTTATGGCAATTGAACAGAAATATATCAGTTTATTTTAAAACGGTATATTTGAAGTTAGAGAGGTTAAAAAAATGTGGCATTTTGGAGATGCTGGTTAATTTTAAATGTAATATGAAAGAACTTCTGGCCATAGGGCCTGTACATGAACTTTAAATGGCGCTGATCTGCCAGTCCAATGCACCAGGGGATAAATTAAAGTCTTTACTACCAGCCCAATACTAATGCTGGAACTCTGTCTGGAGAAGAGCCTAGTCTCATAATGAACACTCTGATTCAGAGAGCAACACACACACATAACACGCACACAGGCTTCACACACCCACCGTGAATAAACATATATCAAATCAACCCATTTATAAACGACAGCCCGATGATATTTAGGTGAAAGACATGATTAATGAAGCTACTGGGCGAAATGGTTATGAAACATGATAAAAGAGGATTTTAAATTTCAGAGATGTGCTTTCGGTGAGGCATTCTGGCTGATGTAATTATATGAGCTGTAGTCCTTTTTAGTCCGTAATCTGATTTGTACATTTATTTGAAACCATAATAAGATATTCTACTGTGATCCAGTCTCCTTCAACATTGAAATTTTAGGTCTATTTTGGGGGGTTCTTCTTGGGGGAAACAACACTGTAAAAAATAATCCTGTAAAAAAAAAAAAAAAAACGGTAAACTACTGGCAGCTATGGTTGCCAGCATCATACCGTAAAAATATGGTGTGTTACTGTTTTTGTGTTAGAGCATAGCTGTTAAATTAAAGTTGTATACTCTAGCTGACAATATGGTATTTAGCTGTTAATTTCAAAAACATTAACACACTGTATTTTTACGGTATGATGCTGACAACCAAAGCTGCCAGTAGTTTACCATTTTTTTTTTAAGGATTATTTTTTACAGTGAAACTAGAGAACTATGAGTAGTTCAACCGAACTGCTTTCATGTAGACGTTCTTATCTACACCAATAACAATGTGTTCTCACCATTTCAGAACAGAACAGACATGCTGCACTTCTAATGTTTCACATTCATGTGTAAATTGCACAAGCCTATTTTGTCCATTAGAAGTCCAAAAGATCTGAAAAACTCCATACAATTACCCACCCAAGTCCTCAAAGAAATCAGGACAGAAGAGGTCAAAAGTAGACAATAGCGATAGATTAGTATAAGGTGTAAATAGGAATCTGTCTCCCTCATACTTGTGATCAGATCGACAAAAACACATTAATACCAGGTATAATCAGGGCTTGTGTTTGCAGCACTTACTGGTTACAGTTCTGACACATACCATTATAATTCTCAGCCCTATTGAAAGAAGCTACACAATTAAAACAAAAAAAAAAAATGAGTTGTATAAAGAACTAAATCATCACGGTGTATAACAAGAATCATCAGACTGTTAAAAGCATGGAGTCTTTCAGTCCAAAGGCAATCTGTGTGTAATAGTCTAAAGTGTCCACCTGTGTATTTACAATTCAGTAAGTGTGACAATCCAAAGTGCAATTGCACTGCAAGTCCTTGTCGGTAAGTATATCCACAACAAGTACTTCACGACCCAGACAAGAAACAAACAGTGACCTGCTTTCTGGTTTAGGTTTCAGGCCTTGACATTCTTCTTCTTCTTTTGATGTTTTATGGCGGTTGGCAAACCAGCTTATCTTGCATATTCTGCTACCTACTGGGAGGTGAGGTGATGATATCAGGGAAAATATGCCTTGATGTTAGGCCATGCTAACATCACTCCCCTGCAACACTCCCTAACACTCCTCTGCAACCGTCAATGTGCTGAGCGTGGGATGGAAAGGAGGTGAGCTAAAATCAAGCATCATGTTAGTTCAGGCAGGCTAGGTCAGCCAAGTTCGCATCAACTGATAGCCAGCTGTTCATGACGTGTTCCAATCAGTGTCGACATCTATCACAGCGGCACATATAAACTCCATTTCTTCAGCATTTCCTCCATTGCTGCTCCAACCCCAACTCCACCCAATTAACCTTTAATCATTCTGTTTTTCGGTTGTTTTTTCCCGTACAGTAATACATTGCAAGCTTTATCATGTAGGCCTATTTGTATTTTTACAGCTCATGTGATTGAGTATTTCAGTGTGAATGCATTTATTGGTTCTGTTCTGTACCCTAGGGGGTTTACCTTGCTGCTTCCCCCGCTCTGTCCAAGCATAGCAGCATAGACAGGCATAGGAGGTTTTTCCCAGAACAGAACCATACTGCCAATACTAACTGTATGCTATAATTGCAATACAATTATATACTTTGCAACATGATCCTGACTGAAATAAATGTCACAACACTGATGTAATGTTGGTTGCAACTTCCTTTTTATGGGGAATTTAAGTTTAGTTATCAGGTAAGATTAATGGGTTTATATTTATGCAGAATTAAAAATAAACAGTAAAAATAACAGCCAATATACTAGTAATATGCATGCGAATAAGCAACTAGGTAATAGTGACAATTGGACGCACTAAAGTGTTTCCATGTTTCTTTGCATGATGACCGTGACATTTTGGACGGACGCTTTAGCCTGGTGTTCGGAAGCCCCGAGTCCCGAGCAATTGTGCTTAACACAGTCTCATCCCAAAAAGTCATATAACTGACGTTTCGGGACGTATTTTGACCATACGTCAATATCCGCCTTTTTAGGGCCCCCTTAAACGTCGGTAGATGGCGATCCCGGGCCGTCATACAACTGACGCTTTACCTTTAACGTCAGTTAGGTGACGGGTTAGGTTTAGGGTTAGGTTTAGGTATGGGGTAGAGTTAGGATCCCATAACCTCATCTACCGACGTTTAAGGGGGCCCTAAAAAGGCGAATATTGACGTATGGTCAAAAGACGTCCCAAAACGTCAGTTATATGACGTCTTGGGATGAGACCGGGTTGTTGTGCCATGAATGTGAACATATGTTGTCTGTGATTTTTTTATATAATTTCTCATGTAACGAGTTTGACAGTATATTGTATGATTCTTTGGCTAGCAGTGGTGGAATAGACATAACAAGAAAGACTACACGTCGCATATGTGACGTCACTGCATAACACATTTTCCCTTCACAAATCACGGTACGATAATCTAAGGAATTAGATCGCCTGTGTGTTTTGTACCCAAATGTCACTATTCAAAGAATGGTTTGTTTAGCGGTATCCGTGTGCTGGTGGTGGTGACGTACCGTATATCAAACGTGTCGAAACCAGCGAAGAGTTGTAGTCCACAGAGTGCTCTCATACAAAGTCTAACCGTATGAAAATTCTACCCGCTAAGTTGTAGCATTCTTTACACGAAAAATTATATAAACAATTCACAGACAACATATGTTCTCAGTCATTGCAAAATTCAAACGGGATTAGAAAATAATTATTTTCTCTCATTCACTTGCATTGACGATTTTTCAACCTAGAGGCCCAGCAGGGTTAGCGGAAGGGGCGGTACTTACCAGCTCTATAGTTTTGAACTTTAACAGAGAACCCGCCTACAAGGAAGTAAACGTTTCTCAATGGAGAGAGGCCAGACTCTCTGTACAAATGAAATGTACGAGAGTCTGGTTGAACCAGGCTAGTACATGTGGGAAGTGTAGTTTGATGCCGACTGAGGCGGGAGTTTTTTAAAAGTAGAAATGATTTGAACTTGAGTGCAGTGTTTTTAGAACACCATTTCATGTGCGAGTTATAACTCACAACATTTGTGTGTGTTTACAAGGACATGACTGTGGTTTATGAGGACATAGTTTGGTTTTACAATAAACAAACAGACAACTACAGTGGCCAGCTAAACAAATGTTTTGTTAAAGATATTCTTGAATAAATCCAATGCAGCGCTGCCGATGATCTCCTGTTTTTCCTAGCAAAATACTCTTATAAGAAGTTCTACTCTCATCTATGTCTTTAGATCCATAATCGAAAAAAAAAAAAAAAAAAAAAAAACAGCCGAAAACTCGAGAACTGATTGAGAAGAAATTGAAAGGAAACTGGAAATTGGGTTGTAGGAGGAGCCCTGGCCCTGTAGGAAGAGCATTTCCCACTGTGCCACAGTTCTTACATAAATATTTTTTGTTAACTAACTGCATCTGTGTGGTATCACCATCTCAGTGTGTTGGCAGTCTTCATCTCTGAACAGCTTTTGCGAGTCACACCAGCCCTTTTCCTCCAATTTCACAGCAGTTTTACCCCAGGATAAATAATGCCCTGTTTTCAGAGCAAAAAAAAAGGGGGGAGAGAAATCACATTATGATTCATCAGTCCACCATTTTTTGATTAAAACTCCCCCTTAAAACATTTCCATTCGCCTCGTTCCTTCGCCAACCCCCTGCCTCTGTTATTTATTCCATAGCTGGTGAGTGCTAACTTTTTTTTTTCTTTTCTCCCTCACTGCTTTTTCTTGGCATAATTTGATTGTGTGAAATGACCATGAAAAAACTATTACAACAGGTCCTTAGCTGTGACGAACACAAACAGGCGGTGGGGCTTGTTTACAGAAGGCCTGACGGTAATGGCTTTTTCCTGAGGTGTTGAAAAGAGAGCATACGCAGCCAGTGGTTGGATGGAAATTTCAAAGAACACCAAGTAGGCATTCAGAGAGCTCCGTCGCACATACACTCACACAAAGAGAGAGACACACTTGTGGCATGAACAGTTAAGACAACAGATCTATCGCCATTTAATTTGTGAGTGTTGGTGGCTAGATTTCTGAGCATTTAAAGAAAGTTTTATCCCAAGACCTTAAACATTTGTTACGGAAATATTTAATACTTTTTTAGAGACTTCTAAACAATTATTGGGGAAACTTCATTCCCAATAATTTCAGAATACATTATTGTAGCACATGGTGTGTATATATAGATGTGACATTATAGTGCTTTGGAAGCTTAATTTGAGATGTCTTTACCATTACTGACTGATTAGTTTCACACCCTCTTTGTTACAATGACTGATGAGACATTTCTTCTCAAGGACGAATGACTGTAGGTTTGATTAATTATATTTTACACTAACATAGATTTCATTGACTGTTTTAAAGTCCTCATTAAATCAAAATGGACAGTTCTTATGTTTTCTGGAATACTGCAGTATTTATTATAAATGATGTATCATTATTTTATTTAATTCATGTGCCCTCATAATCTTTAATCAAAATAATGTACTTTCCCTCTTGCAGTGTCACCTCTTCTCTTCTCTGATGATGTTTGCACTGGCGCGAGGGCGGGGGAACCACATGAGATCATATGAGAATAAAAGCCTAAATTCAGTCCGTTCATCATAAACGACAGTGTCTGTTCAGAAAAGTTGGAATAAACCGCTCAATTCAGATAGATTAGTTTTACGATCTCTTTATGAAATCTCATCTGTGTTCTGAGGTGTTCTTAGGGGTTTGGAGTGAGTAAATTATAAGAATTTTCTTTTTGGGGGAACTATCCCTTTAATTCAGAACAGTTCTGAAGTATCATTACTCGGGAACTTTACACCAACTTGCTACTCTATAAAATGTCCATAAAGTGTTAATCTGTCAAGTTTTGTAAAAGTATTCAGATTCGTTTTACTGAAGAAGCCAGACTTGATGGGAACATGAAAAGCGCAATGCCCTGTCTGGTGTCCTTTGCCTCTAACTTTCTCCCTCTCTCTTTTCCCCCCTCGTCTATTCCCTTTATACCGCCAGGGTCAAGGCTTTCCTCACCCACGACATTTCTCTCCACATCTTGTGGTTTTGAACTACATCCAGCACCATGCAAGACAACTTCATCAAAGCGGTGCAGGGCCTAACGTGTCATCCCACTGATCAAAAACATACAGTTCCATTTTCACCCCTCACAACTGAAGAGGAGAAAAAAAAAAATCTTCAAAGGACAGTCAGCTTCTTTCTAGCACGCACGTAAGATGGTTTGTGATGCTGCCAATTTCTCTAATAATTCTGCTCTGGGGATGGAGTGGTGAAGAGAGGATAGGAAGAAAGGATGGGGGGGGGGGTATGTGGAAGAATGCAACATTTTGATACGGAAAAGAGGTAATATTCATTAGGTTCATCATTAAGATAAACAGGGCTTAATGACACCTTCTTTAATTGGCCTTGGCGCTTAATAACGAACCATTTAATTTGCTGAATAGCTATCCGCTCATCTCCCCTCGGGGTATACTAACTTCAGAATGAGTGATCGAAGAAAGAAAGGGAGCAAGATGAAGAAAGAAAGGGAGTTCTGCATTTTAGTGAGTAATTAAAAGAACCCCGTTAGAAAGAGCATCATTCAGTTCAATTTAACAACATTTATTGCATGATATCAAAGTAGGGTAAATGATCTATAAATTCATGATTTGTTAGTTGGTCGACCTTACCGATTGATTAATGATTAACTGATAAGCGGCTATTTTCCTGAAAATGTCAATTTCTCACGGTATCAATAGTGTCTTTAACATAAAAAGCAAAATATTGCTGATATACTGGATAAAAATGCATGTTATATTGCCCAGTTGGTGTTTTATTTTAACAGATACGGTACAGATAATTGCCTTTATGTAGTTAAACAAAATACATTATGCATAGAAAATGAACATACATAAAACATAATTGTGCACTGGCTCACCTGTTGCATGTGAAACATTAAGCAAGATAAAATATATTTTAAAGAAAAATCTATGGGTAGGCTTAACCTAGACTATATTAAGCATACATACAGTATAATAATCTAAACTACTTATATGAAACACTTAATCCCACTTATAATCCCCCTTGGTCTGAGAAAGGTAAAAGTTCATTATTAGACATACAAACCTTAAATGTAGACTGAACACAACTTAAATCATCCCTGAGGAAGATAAGCGTGAAATTAAAGGGCAGAGTTTTCCATACCCATTTATTTGTGGCGGCCCGCCACAAGATCAACGTTGATCACCACAAAAAAAAACAAAAAAACCTGACTGTAAAATTTAAACAAATGAATCAGTCATGATTCATTTGATATCTATTTTCCTGTCGGTAAGAATACATTTCTCAGTCTAAGTGTCTACAATACAAAGAACCATTTAGTGCAAGTTATATAGGGTACTGTATAATTTCTGCTATGTCATTTTAGGTGTTTTAGGTATAAACTTCACATCATACATGGCTGCACATCAGAGAGAAAATTATTATGGCCACCCTGAGGTCAAGAATAAAAGAAAATTGCGGTGGATGATCGACAGGCTCTGCAATTTTGCATGTTATCCAAATACACCTTTATATAAAAGATGGATGTTACCTACAGTGCTCTTGTGATTGGAAACAGCGACATGCCGGGCTGCCAGAGAACTAATGACTCAAGCCCCCAAACAATTTTCTGTACAGACCCTGAAGAAGAAAAAAAAATAGTTTTGATAGTTTTGAATAACTTTGATTTATTTTCAAATTAGATCTGACATTCTTCATCCCTGAGGAAAATAAATTAGCCACATGTTTGTTTTTTTGTTTGTTTGTTTTTTGTTGTTGTCTTGAAATAGGAATTTCTCTGCTGAATAGTTGTAGTTTTGGAAATCTGTCAAATGTCTGAGACAACTGTACAATTAGAGTTTTTAAAAAGCAAGTTAGATTTTAAAAGATTTAGAGATTTAAAAGCAAGAACTCATTTTAAAGTGTGACAGTAGCCCATTTTCCTGCTGGTAAAATTAAAGACGTATTTTGCGAGCACAGTCACCAGCAGTCACCAGTGTGTCACATCCCTAATGTCAGAAATGTCACCAAGTTTCATAACATACAGATTAAGCTGTGATTTTTTTAAAATTCAAAACAGATTTTTTGTAATCTGAATTTATTGGTGTGAATGTGTATAAAAGTGTGTTTGTATGTGTGGGTGTGATTTTTTTTTTTCACTCTTGATGTAGAGTGTTACCCCTTTACTGCGGTGTACTTTCTTTTAAAAATTCTGATAATTTTTGTGTTTTTGTAAATTTCCCATTCATTTCCTATAGGGTCGGTCATTTTTGACCGAAGACCACGAGTGTGACTATTTTTTTTTTTTCTTTCGACCACTTATCATGATCGGACCTAGCCTGGTTCAACCAGACTCTAGTTCATTTCATTTCCACGTAGAGTCTGGAACCGCTCCATTGAGAAACGTTTCCTTCCTTGTAGGCGGGTTCACTATTAAAGTTCAAATCTATTGGATCTGCCCAAAGTCACTCACGATCTGCCATAGCCAATCGCTAACGGGGTGTCGTGAGTGACGTATGTCACGCGCCGAAATGGCTGGAAACAAATTCGAATGATCAGAGGATTATGTTTACAATAGGATTTCAGTCAACGAGCGCCGCAGGTTTTGTTAATCTAGGAACAATTATTAATTCGAAATGTATATTTGACACGAAGGACAGTGATATATTCATTCAACGGTGGAAGCTGTGTCTAATCATTACAAATACGCCGCTGTGGTCGTTTCTGATCTGCCGCAAATGCTGTAGCAGCTACAGTGAATGATCAGTCGGTCTCTATCTGTGTAATAAACAACAATTTTTCATATTACGTCTTATTGTTTCTTAATTACCTTAATTATGGTCTTCAAAGTATGTGTTTGTACATTTTTATGTGGCATTTATTTTTTTTAGTAAAACAAATCAACCATTGCCATCTAAATCTGAAAATCAAATATCTTCAAAGTATGGTTTTTCACATTTTTATTTATGAAAATTTCTTTTTTTTTAAATCACAACCAATTTGTATGATTTACAACATGTAAAACTGACACACCAACCTCCTGCACGAGTGCACAAAGGGGCTCAAAATGTTCTATTCATCACAAGAATCAGTAAATTTACAGTTGGGAATATGAGCGACTGACATGACTCCTGAGCGGATCTTCAACAATAGTTTAGCAGCCAGGACTCGGGGCTTCTGAACACCGCGAACGCCAGGCTAAACCGTCCGTCCAAAAGGTCATCGTGCACGAGCTGCCCAGCACAAACTTCCAAACTTTCTGCCTCCTTCACTTGGTCCTCAGTTGTGCAACAAGAGGTGAGACGATAACAATCCGGCTTTAAATTCTGTATATTCGGCAGTTTCTTTTCCAACAACGGACCGAATAGCTTTTCTCACGTCTTTCTCCGCTGCCATTACTGAATTGAAACTGACGCGCTTACATCAACGTCATCTTTCTCAGCCACTCCCTCTATTCGCTGATTGGTCCTACAAAAAATTGATTTCTGGAAACCTAAGGATATGGAGCGATCCCAGACGTAGTACAGAAGTAAAATGAAATTGAGCGGAAGTGCGTAGGAGGGCGCAGCCAGGCTAGATCGGACCATGACCTCAATTTTTTTTTTTTTTTTTTTTTTAGATTCACATACCAAATCCCAGAAAAGTCACCAAGTATCATAACCTTCCGATGAAGCTGTGATTTTTTTTTTTTTTTTTTTTAATTCAAAACAGAAAATTATTCCGTCAGAAGTGACCGAGGCCCGTCAGAGAGTTAAGTTAGCTTGCCACTCAGTCATTTTACTGATACTGTCTATCCTTGTCTGGATGCTGTAACAATGCTGTATTATTTTAGTCATTTTGCAACACATTTTACAACCGCTCAAATGATACATCATCAAACACTGAAAAACGCCCCCAGATATAAAATTACAAAAATGTTATGATTACTAGCAGAATATTACATTACTGCTCATTTTCGGTTTTAAATAAGTTACTAATATGGACTACAACAAGCATATTTGATTTTGAGTTTAGTGTACTTGCTTGATGAATTTCTTTGAATGCTTTGTTGCAACTTATTCAGGTGTGTTACTACGTTTCAAAAATTCACATTTGAGGAGTGGCTGTGAGTAATTTGTAAAACAAAACACAAAGGTCCTCCCTAAGTAGCTACTGCTATCCACAGACTGTACTCATAACTCCAATTTTCTTTTCTAAGACCCATTCAAAAACCCTGTGGGAATCCGTGACTAATTCTCCTTTGGGTTTTAGAGACTTCAGGGCTTCATACAAAATATGAAGATTTTCTTTGAGAGTGTGTGTAAAGTATGTGATTTGCAATGAGTTTTGTCTCTGACTCAGAGAATATTTCTATGACCTGTTTTTATGTTATTTAAAATGTGATATGAATATGAAGGTAATTATAGCTGAATAACAGGATGCATTTAAGTCTGAATGTTTGTGCTTGTATTGAATTGTATTATCTTTTCTCTTCATACATTGTGTAGTCTTTGCTTACTGCATGTCTGCATCTCTGATAAAGACTGCTTTGTTTTTGTCATGAAATGAGAAGCTCTGAGGAGACTCCCATAATGTCCCTGCGTATGAAACAATCAGACAGACGATAATAGCTTTAATAAGGGGTTGAGAGAGCAGGAGATGCGTAGGTCGGCCTCTTTCCACCATGCTCCGTGGCGTGAGATTGTTCTCGTCCCTTTGGGATGGAATCTAATTGTTTACGAACTACGTTCTACACTCATAACATCTCATTTGGGACGTTTCTCATGACTGGTGAAATTAAAACATAATAGAGCCTTTAAGATTATCTGTATACTTTATTTACTCATAATGAATTACTTTGATTTGGTGTTTTCAGAGAAGGGAGTCTCTGATTAAATTTTCTATTAATGAATAAAGTTTGCTGTTGACGGCGCCGGTCTCCAGGGCTTGAGAAGGCAGCCGCAGCTGAAATATAATTGATTTCCACCGTGTTTTTGTTTTATTCTTTTGTTTAGTTCCTTTCCCTTCAATAGGGAGAACAAGGGATCGCTGATAGTCTTTAATATTACCCCACCGACTGTGCTTTGATTAGCACTGGCAAAAACACACAGAGAGAGAGAGAGAGAGAGAGAGAGAGAGAGAGAGAGAGAGAGAGAGAGAGAGAGAGAACCCCACAAAATGCTTAATGTGACAATTCATTGAAGGAACATTTCTTCTTTCAAAGTCTGTTTTCTGGTGAAGAGGCGGATGGCCCCAGGTGTAATGCTATATAAGTCCCATGCTTTCAGAAAACAGATTTTTACTGTCACACTGTCATGGGTATTGCAAGATGGTATGACCTACTTGCACCCCACTAATACAGGGATCAAAACAGTCTTCAGGGTAGAGACCCATATTTCTGATCTCAAAGCTGCTACCATCCATTGTGAACTATGAGTATGTATGTGTATGTGTCTCAGATTGAGAAATTAATCAAAGACTGTTCTCATGAGCTGTCATGATGTATGTCATAACCCCACTGTCTGATGATCTATTGTAATTAGAGAGAGGAATGATGAGGGAGTTGAAATAGTTGTGGTGGTCCAATGGCTATCTAAAAGGTTGCTGGGAGTTGGAGGGATTTAGAAACTGGAGAGCTACCATGCTTAAAATACCTTCCTTTCACCTCTGTGGCCATGGGCAAGGTACTTAATCCCAGGTTGCTCCTGTGGGACTTTGCCTGTGAATTGTGTAATATACTTTGGATACCCTTTGGATCCCCAAAAGGGAGTTAGAATAAAACGTTGGTACAGAAATTAAAACATGTCTAGATAGAGAACACCATAGAAATGCCATATTGAACAGCATCCAACGACATTCAGAGAGACATTGTTTTGTTTATAACATTTCTCCATTTCGTTAATCTTGTCTGTTTCTCTGTAGGCAGGTCCTGAGGGAAAAAAAAGTCATTGAACACAAGTTGCCTTCTTTGACTATGTACCCCATTAGCATTACTTACAGCACTATGTCACACTATTTGAACACTTTATTGTGTTCACTTATTCACCAAACGGTTATAGCAAACATATAAGGATGATCATTATTGGAGGATTAGTTCCACAAAAAAACATGGTTTAAGATCAAATATTCAGCAGGTCCCCGTGACAACTTGCCTACGTCTCTTTAAAATAGTGACATAAGTCATGTTGTTTTCCATTATGTAGGTTTACTAGTTTAAAAATGAATTTAAAGCCCCCCCCC